TGTGTGTGGGAAATTGGTGAATGAACCAATCGTTTGTTGGTGTCAGGATGTATGAAGGCCCTTCCTGGAACTTTTGATGAATCCTCACCTACATGCTGTGTACCATACACATACACACATGTATAATATGTGCTGATTACTGTCTTACCACTAAGACCATTGACGTAGGATGCGTTATCACCGGGCAGTATATACGATAAGCATATTAAAATAAACATATCATAATTATTTTATTAAAAAAACATAAAACCATATTATTAAATAATAAAAATAAAACTAAAAAAATAAAAATAATAAATTAAAAAAAAAAATAATTATAATAAAAATATTAAAAAATAAAAATATATAATAACAAATATTTAAAAAAATTTATAAACATAAAAAAAAATATAAAATAAATAAATAAAAAAAAAAAATAAAATATAAAATAAAAAATTAAATAAATTTAAATAATATAAAAAATAAGCATATATGTAAAGTATAGTACGACACAGCACTGACAGTGATTTTAACAGTATGATTAAAATTGTGATTAATAATATTACAATAAAACAGATAGCATAACGTCTATATAGAACTGACACACACACACGCATAATAATAATAATAATAATAATAATAAAATAATAATAAATAATAATAATTGATTTATACTGTGCACATTGCCTACATCACAAATATGTTTACATAGCACAGGCGCATGTTTAGTTGTGATTCATGCATTGCTCTTTGATTTGAATTTGATAAGTTGACTCATGAAATTATCAACGCTTACGTTGCAAACGATCTATGTACATGAATAGAATACGCGCCTATAGACAAGTACAACTAACCAAATAACACACACACTCACACACACGCACGCACGCACGCACGCACGCCACGCACGCACGCACGCACGCACGCACGCACGCACGCACGCACGGCACAAACACACACAACACACACACACACACACACACACACACACAAAAACCTACCTATTCTTTAATCGCGCTTAAAATCTATTTTAATCACGATTAAAAATCACTTGTTCTGATGGCTGGAATTAATCGCGCTTAAAATCTATTTTAATCGCGATTAAAAACCACTGTTCTGATTGGCTGGAATTCAATCGCGCTTAAAATACATTTTAAGCGCGATTAAAATAGGTAGGTTTTGGCGGTAATGGCCTTCCATCCAGAGATGCCTACTGCGCACAACACCATGGCAACGGCAGCAGAGATTCCCATTGTGCACAACACCATGGCAACGGCAGCAGAGATTCCCATTGTGCATAACACCATGGCAACGGCAGCAGAGATTCCCATTGTGCACAAACACCATGGCAACGGCAGCAGAGATGCCTACTGTGCACAACACCATGGCAACGGCAACAGAAGATGCCTACTGCCACACAACACCATGACAACGGCAACAGAGATGCCTACTGCGCACAACACCATGGCAACGGCAACAGAGATTCCTACTGCGCACAACACCATGGCAACGGTAAGCAGAGATGCCTACTGTGCACAACACCAAGCAACGTAGCAGAGATGCCACTGTGCACAACACCATGGCAACGGAGCAGAGATGCCTACTGTGCACAACACCATGGCAACGGCAACAGAGATGCCTACTGTGCACAACACCATGGCAACGGTAGCAGAGATGCCTACTGTGCACAACACCATAGCAACGGTAGCAGAGATGCCTACTGTGCACAACACCATGGCAACGGTAGCAGAGATGCCTACTGTGCACAACACCATGGCAATGGCAACAGAGATGCCTACTGTGCACAACACCATGGCAACGGCAACAGAGATGCCTACTGTAGCATTGCTCACACAACACCATGGTAACGGCAGCAGAGATTACCATTGCTCACACAACACCATGGTAACGGCAGCAGAGATTCTCACTGTACATATCACCATGGCAACGTTAATGGCAGCAGAGATCCTCACTGTACACACATCACCATGGTGATGAAATCGGCTGTGGCAGGCGTGCTGCATGTTGGTATGTACCTTCGCAGGAGCTGGCCCATCACCAGATGGCGCTGTCCTTGTCATCCTCGCTCCAACTGTCGTCTTCTTCTCCATCCTGCTTCCGACGCTCGTCATGCTCGTCGTTGTTCTCCTAGCAGATGGCGCCGGTGTTCTCGCCGGCGGAATTGCCTTTCCTGCTACGGGTAGACGTCCAGATGTGGCTGTCTTTCCTGCCGCTGTTGTCCGTCCAGGGGTGGCTGCTTTTCCGGGTGCTTTCTCTCCTGGTTTCTTTACTCCTATAAGAGGTGGAGAATTCTTTGCTTGGCAACAACGTACGAGAGTTTCCGCATGAATACTCCCAGTGTCTAGCTACAATGAGATATTCCGTTTACGACCTTGTATTGTGGAGAAAGGGGGGTGGTGTAGGAAGGGTGTATTAAGGAAGGGTGTAAACGAAACGGGGTGAAGATATTGTGGTAATGAAGGAAGGGGGTTACTGAAACACTAGCCATGCAGTGTGATATTAAAACAGCATCACAAATACAGAAAAAACAACAGAAATGTGTAGTGAAATATATAGTCTGATCTATCAGTAAATAACACGAGACTTCTAGCAGCTTTCATTCTATAAAACGGAATTAAAATCAAGGAGCCGTAAGCACAAGTGCATGCATCCGATTGTCTGATGAAATTATCACTTATCAATCGAGTTTTTGTCTATGTAATTTCTGCATCTACTAATTTTTCCTAGATTCTTCCAACTCGTCCTGTTGCATGCCATTCGTCTCTCACTCCACCAGCTACTTCATATAGCACTGCTTGGCTACAAGGTTACAGGAACACGAAAATCGGTGGTAAAAACCTATAAGCCATTATAACGGTGATTATATTGAAATGACTTATTGAATGGCCTGAAGCCTTTACATGTGGCTTGTTCTGCGTACAAAAATCTTGCAAAAAGCATGCTGAGCAGTGTGCTTCTGAAGATGAATCATAGAATCACAAAAGGCAAGGTGAATGTGAATTTGCGAGAAATATGCATCGGTGGAGGTGGCTCGAATCGGTGGCGCTATATAATGATCTATCGCGCGACTGACCTTCCACACCCTCCTGATAACACTGTTACGCGCATCATACGAAAATCAGTAATGCTTTTTTCAATGTATTGCTCAACATCAACGGGCGGCCATCTTGTAATAGAAGAATGTAGCCAGGCCGGGACGTGATAGTGCTCGTTATAGGTACTCACCTGAGAGGCGAGCACCTGTGGTTGGAGGCTTCGTTGGTTTGACTTCGCTCACAGAGACTGCAGCATTCTGCTTCTAATGGAAACAAAACACAACAAATTGTGTACCCTGTATGTGAAGGTTGAAAACACAGGGACTAAATGGCATCTGGGTGTAAAAACATCTAAACATTTTAGATTATCAGACCATATCAGTGTGCAAATATGACAACTTTGTTGACATCTGATGACTCGATGTTGAACAATTATGTCTAGAATGTCTACTATTTGTTTTCTATGTTGAAAACGCAGCAAAATTCAGGCCGCTTGCTAACACTTGCTAAATTAATCTGAACATGCATGCTGCTTACAATCTAAATTAAAGAACTAAGTAAAATTCAGTAATTTGATGTGGATATGCAGGGTTAGAATAAAACAGTGTTTTTTTTGCAAAAAGAAACAAAAAAAAAACAAAGAAACACTGTTTAAAACATGTTTTTTTCGTTTTTTATTGTTGATACAAAGAAACATCGCATAACTCTATCTATTGATATCAGTACAGGACTATATAGTTTTATTGGTTTAATAATTTTTTTGGCTTCAGTTGTTTCCATAGGAACAGTATAGCATTGGGTGATGCTGACATCTATTGGCCAGTAGAAAAATCTTTTCAGCACTTTTTTGTAGTTTTTTCCCCAATAGTAAGCATGGAAAATACTTTTATTAGGAGGGTAGAAAATTAGTTGGCGTAGTATTAATTAACTTAAAGTAAAATTCCATAATAATGGGGTTCTTTGGATCAGCAAAAAAACACTCGAGAAAAAAACACTTTAAAACACCTGTTTAAAACAGTAATGTTTCTTTCATGCCAACCCTGTCCAGGATATGTGACATATATTAATTATCCCACCATGAACCAGTTTAATGCCCCAGTCTCAAAGTTAACACCAAGTAAGTCATGCAGATTAGTCATAGATAGATGTGAATCACATGAATAAAATAAAAGTAAACGCCTACTAACACTATATATATCATGATTTCCACATGTCTACTGTATATGCGCTGTCAGCTCTTGATTATATGTCTGACTACATACCACGTGCATTCCCCTTACTGCACCAATCGACCCAATCGAGTACACCAGGGGGGTGGTGGCATTAGAGACCAACCCGTACAGGCAACAGGCAATAACAGACACAGGCAGTGTATTATTGCAATCCCAGACGGCGTGGGTTATGGTCCTCAGCGGTGGGAGGGAGTTAATGATTTTGATAGGGGGAGGGGGTAAGGTGCCAAACAGCGGGGGTGCTATACTTACAGTGTGCGAAGGGGGCTGAAGATTTTCTAAAACACTTTTTTCTCCAAATTTCAAAGTTAGAAATAACATCTTTAGCATTCTTAGCAGGAAATAATCAGTCCTTTCATCTGATGATTATTTTCACAAGGTACTGCGCAACGCCACAGACAAAAAGCGACTGCAAATGAATTTTTTTCGTACATTGTTCACCGCCAAGCTACTGATTTTTCCCCCAGGCAGCTGGTAGGGGTGCCTGAGCCTTTCCGATAGGAGTGCCATTGCCGATGTTGCTCCCCCGTTGCAGTGAAAAAAATACACGGGGGCTCGGGGCGATTTAGCCCCCTAAAATGCCAAAAAGAGCCCCGGAAATGCCAAAAAGAGCCCCCGTAAATTTGCATAGAGTCCAATGCAAACCAAATTTTAGAGTGCTATTTTCATGCACGCGAGCTTGAAAAGTAGCCCCCGAAAAATAACTTTTTTTTCCCCTGCCCCGTTGGCTCTACACCTCACCCAGCAACCCACTGCATACTCCAAGCTCTCAACGCAATTGCGCTTTTGTCACTGGCGTAAATAATGGTTAATCAATCAGCCCTATTAGTAATGCATCACGAAAACGCGCTGACACTGTTTTGGTAAATAAACTCATGTTGCCAAGTGCGAGCGCGCGCGATGTCACTAGCTCCCTCCCCCCCCCACACCCCTTCATCAGTCCGTTCTCCTTCTCTCCTTCCACCGCCACCACCACCACCACCACCACCACCGAAGGAGGTCACACAACGTGTGACACGAGGCACGGTCATTTGGCTGCGACATTTAAGCCGTTAAGCCGTCAGCGCCAGTTATTCATGGAATAATCGGCCATCGTTGTAAACAGCAACGACGACAGCTTCGCTCAGGTTTTATAGTCGCTGGGCGACGGTGCGTACGTGTCGTAGCAGCCGTGGCGAGAGATATTACATAGATCCGTGCCAGATCGCCAACCTATCACACAGCCATACACAGCATACAGCATATTAATACACATCGGGTACAGGAAGAAATAGAGACACAGCGAGAGACTGACACGAAAAGAGAGACAGATACAGAAAGATAGTGAGGGGAGGAAACGCGGGAGGGAAGGAGAATTGAAGAGATTGATTGGGGAGGGAGGAAGGGAGGGAGGGAAGGAGAGAGAGAGAGAGAGAGAGAGAGAGAGAGAGAGAGAGAAAGAGAGAGAAAAGATAGATCGAGGATGGCGCGCGTGAGAGATAGAGAGAGCGCGAGTGAGAGATAGAGAGAGCGCCGCGGTGAGAGACTAGAGAGAGCGCGCAGGGCGCGAAGGAGAGAGAGAGAGAGAGGAGAGAAGAGGAGAGAAGAGAGAGAGAGAGAGAGAGAGAGAGAGAGAGAGAGAGACAAGGGAAGACGGGCAACTTCTCCGAAAATATCACTAAAGAAAATCGGATAAGCGTGTGTGTTGGAACGCAGAACTGACATAAACACATCGTGGAAAGCACGACGACTACCCGCCTCAATATTCACTACAACGCACTTACGCTGAGAGGGTCTATGTCCCCCAGGGTACTGCCGGAACGTACCTGGTACGGTCCGGTATTACGAAAGCGTACTCTGGACGGTCGCGGCTACCCTGGGTACTATCTAATATGCGGACCGTACCTCGCCTACGTCCACTAACGAGTCCAGAGTAGCGCTAACGGCTACTCGCCTAACCTTAACCGTAACGCATTATGACAACAGATAGTTACCAGTTTACGTTCCGGCAGTACCCTGGGGGACATAGACCCTATGAGCCGCACTTACAGAGGAAGCGCCGGCCGCATCACTCCTTCAACGCACACATCCGTAAACACAGAAAGTTCGAGAGCAAATTCAACATTCCTCCCTGCTGCCTATTCCTGCACACTTCCCTGCTGGAATTACTGTCCTTTGTGCGAGCAGCGAGAAGCCATTTTGGCTTCAACGCGAGAGCTGGCCTTACTCCTTCCTCATCTGTAGCCATCATCAGCGTGCCACTAAGAGCACAGTCATGTAGAGCTTCATGATGCTTACCTCTAAGTGCCCGCCTCTTGGCACACCGAGTAAGAACGCTGCCGAACGTTTGGAGGAAGTGAGGAAGTCGCGTGGCTAACGACAACTTAATTAAAAATTGATGGCAGTCTAATCGGGTGTGAAGTCTTGGCCAGCCAGGGCGAGCGATTCGCGATCGGTTAATGCACTACCTACTAATAGCAGACGAAATGTGAAAGGCAGTGCTGGTGATTGGCAGTGAGGGCGCCAGGAAGCCCTGTAATCATCAGTGCAGGTGAGCAAGGGCTGCATGGAAAGAAGTACGCCAACAGCGAAGTAGAGAAATTTGATGCAGAAAGCGCTATTAACGTGCTTAACGCAGCGACAGACACCGAGATGCAGAATAACCTGCTATAGACTAAACCATGACATAACGCAGGAACCCTCTATGCCACACCACATCAGCCTAACGGTAACCTAAGGTAGCTCTAAAACATATTCCACCAAATCTAAGGTCGATCAATGAGACAAACGGCACACTGACAGGATATACTATTAACAGGAGTCTATCAACAGGAGACTGTATATTAGACTCCTGCTATTAATAACCTGATGGAGATTAAACCGATAACAAGGAAGAAAACCGAAACAATAAGCCGATTACAACACATAGACTATAATAACATAACATAATAATATAATATAATAAAATGAGACATTCAAAGACAATCTAACACCGACAAAGCAACTAAGTAACAAAGTAACACACTAACAAAGTAACAGGGGGGAGGGAAATCTGAGATCACTCTGGAGTAACTAACCTCCAACCTAAATCAGACATAACGCTACCTAAGACTACTGAAAGGCAGGCGCGTGCAACGAGTGCGTTTTTAAGCTGGGTAATCCTTCTGAGGTGATTTAAACAAAACAACACCACCACAAATCTCACCTTTGGAGACTCCTCTTCTACGCCGCTATCACTACCATCTGCAAATATATAAAAAAGGAATATCAGCACATCACAATTAAAACACGCACTTATAGAGCTCATACAAAATTGATGCATCTGTGCGCTATACTTAGTATCGGCCACATTTATTTTCTGCCTCGCGTACAAAGACCAACCGTCTAGAATACAGACAAGAGCAGGCTTAATACACTCTTGATACTAACGTAACACGCGAGCACCAACTCACGCACGCGCCCACGCACGCACCAACGCACGCACGCACGCACGCACGTAAACGTCTGGGTGCAAGCTTGTTTGCGTGCAAGCGTCACGAACAGTTATCACGAAGGCATTCGCATTCGCATACACATGCGCGCGCGCGCACACACGCACACACGCAGAAGCTTATGGATTTCCATTACGACTGCACCTGTAATAAAACACCAATAGGTATGACTAACCAACTCACGGCGCACAACCTAAACATCTACGTGCATTAGCAACCTATATAATATCAGGTATAGCCCACTCGCGGTGCCGGTGTTCCCTGGCTGCATCAATCACGCACACTTATTCACGATTCACGGGTCACGGTAGTCAACGACCTATCGCCACTCTGCCGAAAGCATAAACACCCTGGCAGCCGAGATGCAGCCGAGATGCAGTCGAGACTCAACGCCGTCAATGCATAAGCGACTGCGTTAATATATGTCTCTCTCTCGCGCGCGTGCTCTCTCTCTCTCTCTCTCTCTCTCTCTCTCTCTCTCTCTCTCTCTCTCTCTCTCTCTCTCTCTCTCTTTCGCGCGCGCTCTCCACACTGCCCTTTCTTTTTATCCATCTATCTTTCGCTTTCCTCGCGCCTTATTTATCGTTACCTCTGGATCTCCTTTACACCTACATCCACGTGCTTTCACTCTGGCTGTTACTTCTACTCTCTCTTTCTCTCTCTCTCTCTCTCTCTCTCTCTCTCTCTCTCTCTCTCTCTCTCTCTCT